AGTATCCCCACTAGTGGAAAACTCTTGAAAATTAATAGTTCATCCCATAGTAAAGATTTTAAAATGTATACGCTGGATAAACAAACCAAGCCAAGAGTTCAAGTGCTTTATAAAGTGTTTTGGAGTTTCTGCTGCCACAGTTGAAGGTGTACCTCCCAAATCCCCAAGTTCTAGTCCTGAAGCTTTTAGCTTATTTCCTCTTTTCAGAAAACCTGACCTGGATCGCAGCAGCATGTGTATCAACTGGTTACTTGTCACTGATTTGAGCAGGTTCACAGCTTGTGCAGCAAAGACTTTTTTTCTCCTGACCAGGGTAATTTAACTCCAACTGTTTCACTAAAGCGTTATTGAATTTTATCAGAAGGAAAAAAGCAGATTAAGGGAGGAAAAAAATTAAAATAGAACAGTAGTGTACACTGCACTTACTGGACTTCTTAAATCTAAGATCTAATAGATCTGCCTTTGCTTCTACCCATCAGGCTGTGATAACTAAAAGGCGATAATGCTGTCCGTCTGCTCTTCACAGGACTCCTTACTATCTCCCTGTAGATCTCTCATTTGGGCCTGAATCAACTGGCCATTGTAGCCTCTCCAGGATTAGATCTCAGAGTAGGTACTTCTTTACATATCGATGGGGGGGGCATAGTGACTTAACACTTTCCTGTCCCTTTTCTACTTTATATGCAACATGTTCTGTGTCTATGCAACGTGTTACCACATTGAGAACACATTAGCCATCAAGCAAAGAGGAAGATATGAAGTCAGATACACATAAAAGTAGAACAGAATTCCTTCAGAAAGAGAACTCGGTCCAAAAGTATTCTTATAGAAAAAAATATCACTGCAATACTTAGCATGTAAGATGGAAATTAGGCCTCTTGAAAGGTATTTTGAAAAGAAAATAAATAAGGAAGTGGAAATGAATCTACACCAGAAGCAAGAATTGTAGGGCTGGCTCAGCAGACTATATAGATGAGCATTAGTCATTTTGTGCACTTCAGAAGATTGTGAAGTGACAACCCCCTGCAAAAAAAAACAACAAAAAAAACCAAACCAACAAGCCAAACCAAAACAAACCCCAACAGCCAAAGCATATGAAGGAAATAAACCAGAAGGAAACATTCTTTTGTCCCTTCAAAATGCACATTGCCATACCCTTGTCACATACCCACAGCGCTGATGTTTACCTGTGGCTGCAGACTGACCCACAAGTGCTGTCCACGCCTGCTGGCTTATTGCCTCCTGTGTCCCCCAGCAGGTGTTATGGGGGGACTGCCCAGTCCCAAGCACTGAGTTGTTTATAAGTAGAGGGGGTGTATGTGTTTTACGTCTCCCTCACAGTCGTCTTGCAGTCTGTATGTGGTGTCTCTTATCTTATAAAGATGTTAGATTAAAATCCTGATGTAAACTATGACTTGTTAAAACAAGTAAAAAGAAAAAAAATGTTGCGTGTGTCAGCTACCAAACCCAGCTCCTCCCCTGACCGACAGCAGCATACTGGATAACTGCTTCAGTTTTGTTCTCTGCAAAGGAGGCAAGGTTCTTTGATTCTGAAGGAAAGAAAAATGAGAAGGTTGAGAAACATTGTCTTAAACTTCAAAGTGAGCCATGGGAATAATTGCATAGGAAAGAGATCTTTGTGCAAAATTTACAGGTCTATAGTTCTAGTGGTTCCAGCTAGGTGATTTTTAGTTTGTTTGGGTTTTTTAAGGATAGAGACAGTATGTACTGTGCTTATTTTGCTTTTAGTTAAAAGAAGTTTTTATTTTATTATTACTATTATTTTTCCTTTATCTATGAATGGCCATCTGATTTTTGGTTATTTATTACAATTTAATTTATTTGTTCATTCCAGGATTTTCTTTCTTGGTACCTCAGTCTCTGGTAATGTTTTCATGGATTCCTATTTTGTTTAGAAGTCTGAAGTATTTCTTAGCCATTTCTTTCAAGTTTTCAAGTTTAATAATAATTGCTAATATAATTTCAAATCATTCTTTTCACATTTCTCCTGTGTGTAGCCATGAAATGAGTTCATTGTTTAAAGATGTGCTCAATAGTGTAAGTCAGCTTTTATGCTACAAACCAGATTTGTGTTGATAAACTCTAACAATTATGTTGTGCTGACTTCAAGAACCATTTCGGGAGAAGTACATGAATAATGTAGATAAGGTAGATTAACTCTGGCATCTGTGGGAGATGGGCAGACAGAAAGGGAAGTGATTAGATGAGTAACACTCTGCTTTCCATGTCACTGTAAATTAGCATCAGGTAGCTTTTTCATGTCTTTGCTCACGTACCTTTGAAATACGCGAAGGTCGCATAACTTTTATGCATTTCCATGTTCATAGCAAATTTTCTTACAGACCATGAGACAGTTTATGTATAAAAATTAATTAAAAATAAGCAAATCTAATATTTTAGTTTGTCAGATGTGAAAAATAACCATTTTCAGAGTGCAGGCAAGTGAGCAACTTCACAGAAACTGCTTTATGTGCTACTTCTACAAGATGATAAATGTGAGATAACTCCTCTTCGAGCAGGTCTCCAAGGCAAATAATGCATAGCATAAATAATGTCCTCTCTTCACAGCCTGAGGAAAAATAATTATAGCCATTAAAATAGATAATGAAGTGAAAAACAAACTTTGACATTGCATTGAGCTTGTTCCTTTCAGTAGTATTGTATGTGAGCTGGAAAAGGCTGTAGACCACTAGATTATATCCTGCTGGTTTTGAGCACATCATGTGGAATTCCCCCGTGGAAGTGGAGGGTGTTGGTTTTGAAACTGGACGGCTTTAAGAAAGGAGATCTCGGTGGCTGAAACAAGAGATTTGTAATAGAAGATGCTAGAGTACATCCGTGCAGGGATCCACCACCATCTTTGGGATAGTATATAATTCATGTTTCTGTGTCACATCTTTCCTTGTTCTCCAATAGGTGGAAGTAACTTACTGGACTGAAATAAGGTTGTGTGACTGTGTGTTTCTATACACATGTACACAATTTACACATTTTTGAACTTTTGTTTTGAATTAGGTGAAAGCTGTGGTCGCTATTCTTCTTTCAGAAAAGAATTTCATAATCCAAGTCTTACTCCTATGAGAAGTCTCCAAATGTCCTTGGAAGTCCCCTTATAGCTTACAGTTTATCTGATCTCACAGCATTCAGTGCTAATAATTAAAGTGTATCTGTGATAGCTGAAACTAATCTTGAGGACTTTAAAATATCAAGGTATACTTTTAGTTTTTGTTTTCAGAGAGGAACCAGGGTGGTGGTGGACGAGAAGCTCAATGTGAGCCGGCAATGTGCGCTTGCAGCCCAGAAGGCCAATAACCATATCCTGGGCTGCATCAAGAGAAGCGTGGCCAGCAGGTCGAGGGAGGTGATTCTCCCCCTCTACTCCACTCTTGTAAGGCCCCACCGGGAGTACTGCGTCCAGTTCTGGAGCCCCCATCACAAGAGAGACCTGGAGCAGCTAGAACAAGTCCAGAGGAGGCCACGAGGATGATCCGAGGGCTGGAGCACCTCTCCTGTGAGGACAGGCTGAGAGAGTTGGGGCTGTTCAGCCTGGAGAAGAGAAGGCTCTGGGGAGATCTTATAGTGACCTTCCAGTACCTGAAGGGGCTACAGGAAGGCTGGAGAGGGGCTTTTCATAAGGGCAGGTAGTGATAGAACAAGGGGAAATGGCTTTTAGCTGAAAGGGGGTAGGTTTAGATTAGATATTAGGAAGAAATTTTTCACTGTGAGGGTGGTCAGACACTGGCACAGGTTACCCAAGGTCGTTGTGGCTGCCCCCTCCCTGGAAGTGTTGAAGGCCAGGTTGGATGAGGCTTTGAGCAACCTGGTCTAGTGGAAGGTGTCCCTGCTGATGGCAGGGGGGTTGGAACTGGATGATCTTTAAGTTCCCTTCCAACCCAGACCATTCTGTGATTCTATGATAAGATCCTGCTTTCATATGAATGGGTGTTCACTATCAAATTTTCTTTCATGTGCCAGTATAAACAGTTCAGGTAAATGACTGAAATATAGTTTGTTATAGTAAAGATGTTCAGCTGGATAGTGCATGATGTGAACACTTCAGTATTTGGTCCTCCAGTGCTCTCCATCAACCTACTATAAAGGCTGAAAATTATGAAGAACAGGGTTTTTAAGTTTTTAGAGTTTGGTGAACATTTTTTCTTACTGCTACTATGTCTGAGAAAACACCTGAAATACTTAAGTCCTGCTGAGGCTGACTAGTTCAGTACTGGAATGATACAATTCATTGAGCCTTCTTAGGGTTGGCTGCTTATTAAGGAGTGAAAATTAATTACTTGTATCCTCCCTCTTGTGCGTAAGGTGTGGGAGAAGGAGGAATGCTTCACGGGTTTCATCCCACATGTTACAAAAGGTCATTTTGTTGCTGGAAGTTCTCCTGTCTGATTTTTTTCCATCTCATGATACAGGTGATTGGGTGCCTGTATTTGTTTTACGTGGCAAGATTTTGATAATAGGGAGCTGCAGAGGTGGCTTCTGTGAGAAGACACCAGAAGCTGCCCCCATGTCAGACAGAGCCAATTCTAGCTGGCTCCAAGACAGACCTGCTGCTGGCCAAAACTGAGCCCATCAGCAATGCTGGTCACACCTCTGTGATAACGTAGTTAGAGAAAAGGTAAAAAATGCTTTCTGACATGGCAGCTGTGTGAGAAAGGAGTGCAAAAACTGTGACAGAAACAGTCCTGCAGGCACTAGGGTCAGTGAAGAAGGAGAAGGAGCAGGTTCTTCAGGCACCAGGGCAGAGATTCCTCTGCAGCTCTTGGAGAAGACTGTGATGAAGCAGGTTGTCGCCCTGCAGCCCATGGAGGTCCCCATGCTGCAGAAGGTGGGTGTACACTGAAGGAAACTGCAGCCTATGGAGAGCTCATTCTGCAGACCAGGCTCCCAGGAGGAACTGTGACCCACGAGAAGAGCTCATGCTGGAGCAGGTTTTCTGGCAGGATCTGTGACCCTGTGGGGGATCCATGCTGGAGCAGTCCATTCATCAAGGACTGTCCCCTGTGGAGAGGACCTGTACTGGAACAGTTTGTGAAGAACTGCAGATTAAGGGAAGGACTTGTACTGGAGAAGTTCGTGAAGGACTACAACCCATGGGAGGGACCAGTGCTGGAGCAGAGGAAGAGTACGAGGAGGAAGGAGTGGTGGAGACAAAGTGTTTATGGGCTGACGGCAGTTCCCATTCCCCTGTGCCACTGGGGGAGGTGGGGGCTAGGGGTGAAAGGAGGAGAGTCATGGGTGAAGTTAAGCCTGGGAAAAGGGGGATGGGGGGAAGGTGGTTTTAGTTTTGTTAATGTTTCTCACTGTCCTACTGTTATTAATTGGCAATAAATTAATTTCCTCAAGTCTGTTGCCTGTGACCATAACTGGTGAGTGGTCTCCCTGTCCTTACCTTGACCTCTGAGCTTTTTCATTATTTTCTCCCCCTGTCCTGCCAAGGAGGGAGAGTGATAGAGCGGCCGAGTGAGCACCTGGTGACCAGCCAAGAATGACCACAGTCCTAAATCTATAAGTACCTACTTGGAGATCTGCAGGAAGAATCCAGTTGATTTACAGTATGTTTTTAGGGAGTCTCATGCATTTCCACACCAGGTTCATCTTCAGTATGTAAACAGAGACCCCTCAGGAACCATTTTTTCTGCCAATCTCAACCCCAAACAGTTGTCTGAAAGAGGAGGAAACAGAAGATAAAGGAGAAATTTGAATGTTTTATTTTGCCACCTAAAGGCAGATGCAATAACGAGACAGATTTGCTCTATTAGCCTCCTCGTTATGGGTGTTAAGGATTTAGCTGCCCTTTAGCTGAGAGTTGGACCTTTAAAGGTCCCTTCCAACCCAAACCATTCTGTGATTCTGTGACTTGCAACGCTGTTTTGAGCGTGTTTCTTGCAGAGAAATTTCCTTTGTCTCTTTGGAATTGGAGCGTGCCACAGAGCTAATAATGAGAGCAAGCTTCAATTTACCCTTGAGTTACCCTTTTGCTCCCTCTTTCTCCTACCCTTGTTTCACACAGAGGAAGAAGAAGACCCTGAAGTGGTGTTTGCTCAAAGTTTTGTTGTCTGGGCGAGGTAGCTTATATTGTTAGATTGCTTCAGGCTGGTTAGCGCGCTGCCTCAGAAGAAACGTAGGATGCGTGTTTCTTACACTTGGCCGTGCTTTATTGGGAGCTTACAGGGCACTGTGGAAAAGCAAGCAATGTATTCCATAATGGAGTGACGATGAAATAGAGTAGAATGGTAGAGGAGGGTCGTTGGGGAGGACTAAGTTTGTAAGCAGGGTCTTTGTCAAATGTATCTTCTAATGTTTACTGCCACTTTTGTCTGAAATAGACTGAAATGTTGGTGTAATTACAGAGAGCTCAAGGGCACCTCAGGTTGTTACATCATCTGAGGGAAGGTTGGGGAAAAACACTTGAATGTGACTGTTTCAGAACAGAGGAGTTTTGGTTTGGTTTTTGTAAGGGCTTGACCTCAGCAGAAATCAGTTTATATATTTGTTTCCAGCAGTGATGGTTGCAAGTGATTAGCCTCATTTGTCATATATTGAAAACTGTGGTGAGCAATAGATTCCTAGGAGTGCCGGGGGGGAGGCTGTAAGGTGTGCCTTCCCATTTCTGTCCTTTCTGTATGCTGTGGATGGACTCTACAGAAGGAAACAGCTAGAGAAACACCGTTACAGGGTGGTGGCCAAGTCTGTGAGATCAGGACCCCCTCTAGTGGTGACACCTCTGCCAGACTGTACAAGATGCTTTCTCCCAGTGTTTGTTTCCTTCAGTCATGAATCTTTTTCTCCCTCTAAAACCCAAATTTCCTTCAGTCATGAATTTTTTTCTCCCTCTAAAACCCAAATTTAGGTCCTCTCTGATAACTGTGGTGAATATGATTACTATTACAGTTGTTAGTTTGACAGGTAATAAATTGAGTTCATTCTGACCATCAGTGACACTGAAAAGTGTTGTGTTCTATATCACTAGTGTTAGCTGAAATTTGCTACACCTGTAGTGTAATATTATTTTTTCTGTGGCTTTGAGCTGGCAAGTTTCAATGTTAATTCTTAAATTAACAATGGGAGTCAGGTGGAATAGAAAAAGTAGCACTTAAGAAGTATGTATGAAACAGCAGAGTCGCTTCATAATCTGTTAAAATATTTTTTTTTTTGCAATGTATCTACATTTTTATGTCCAATTGCCTGGGTAGATGCACTTTCTATGTGTTTTGAGTCAGCAGCCATACATATAGACAATATGTTATTGCATCAGTAGTGATGACTTTCTCAGGAGTGGGCACTGGAGCTACTTTTTTCTTGGTCTGTTACAAGTTCTAGTTTCAGAATGGAAAGCCTTGAGTCCATATATACTATGAGTCCACTATATACTTTTTCTTATGTGGAAACAGAATTGTTTTTACTGTATTGGGCATTTTTTGTCTTCTATTATTTGTTCTTCTATCTGCTAAATAACTTAAATAGAAATGTTTCTTAGTGAAGAAATGCCATGCATTCTTTGTGGCGTAATTGTCAGGAACAAACCAGAGTCAGTGGAGGTCTTTGCTGCCTCTTTTTTGTGTACTATCACTGTCTGTACAAGTTGCTGGCTACAGGAAAAGCTAGCTGTACATCCAGCACGTTATTCATTGATGCTGCTGGCAGGTGAAGATGACAAGTAGTTCATAGAACCATAGAATGATTTGGGTTGGAAGGGACCTTAAAGACCATCTAGTTCCAACCCCCCTGCCATCAGCAGGGACACCTTCCACTAGACCAGGTTGCTCAAAGCCTCATCCAGCCTGGCCTTGAACACTTCCAGGGAGGGGGCATCCACAGCTTCTCTGGGCAACCTGTTCCAGTGTCTGACCACCCTCACAGTAAATAATTTCTTCCCGATATCTAATCTAAACCTACCCCCTTACAGTTTAAAGCCATTTCCCCTTGTTCTGTCACTACCTGCCCTTGGAAAAAGTCCCTCCCAGACAATGTATGCTACTATGCTAGGTAATGACAAGTTGTAGGGCATGTCTTAGAAATATATAGCATTTTATACTTGCATTACAGTGTTTTCATGACTAATATTTAGCATTTGTCTGCCATGTAGAGGGAAAAGCTGGAATGAAGCAATTGCTTCATTAGAGAGCACTGACTGTTTGATTCTGATGGGCACAATTACAGTGATAACAGATCACTTGCCTCCTTTGCCAAGGCAAGTATAGGTTGGGTACAGCATTGCTGAAGGTCTGAATTGCATTTAAGTAGATATTTCAAAAGTTGTCTGAGATACTGTCATCAGTTTGTGACTTCAGTTATCTAGCTAATGTGGATATACAGGCTTCCTAAAAGCCCAATAAAAATATGGGTATCTTACAGTGTAAAAGGTGAAGCTCCATACAGTTGTGTCATGTCATATACAGGACTTCTTTATGTATTTCCCAGCATTCTTGCATCATTTTCCCATGAAGTTATGGTTGAACTTACTATTTTTTTATGCTCTGACAGTGATTTGCTTGAATTTTATCAAATCTAATTCAGACACCTCATTTGAATACCTTGAATGGTATCTTAATACAAATGCAAATACATTCTTTAAAATAATTCCTGCCTTTTATTCAGTAATTGCTGAAGAGTACAAAAATAGGAACTCAGTGGGCTCAAGTTAAGGTTGTTTGGGTGAGTTTTTTGCCTTGCAATTTCTTTATTTCAAAACTCCATATCAAATACAGATAGTTCTTCTGTTTCAGATCTTTACCTCTCAAACTTTTCCTGCTCAGTAGATGCTTACTTGCATAATTCCACCTTTTTTCTGTTGTAGCTTTGTGTGTTAGAAGTATGAGTTTAGTGTGAATTTTTCTATGATCTGAAAATTTAAAATCACTGCTTTTTGATAATACTGGTTTCATTAAAATCCTTGGCTAAGATTTGTGATGCAATAATGCATATGCATATTTTTTTAATTAATTGCTGTTCTGACTGAAAGTCTTAAACTGTTTCTCTCTTCTGTGAATAGTCTGCATTTTTTATTTAATAACTTATTAATAGGTGGTGTATAATAATGCATTGCTCACTGGAAGGTAGGAAGACTGGAGCACTTTGGTAACCTTACTGAAAGAAATGTAACTATAGGACTCCTCGTATTACTGTGGTTACTTTGACAATGCCATTTTGGTTTCTGCAGGGGCAGTGCTTTATGCCATGTGTACATGCAGAGTGGCAGTTGGCAATCTGCCTGTAAAGCATGCAGTCAGGGAGGTCCTAGTCAGTGGTGGTGCTTCATTGCCGTAGCTGTACTCAAAGCTCCAGGGACTGAAAGGATGGGGTCAGTTATCAGTGGTGTGATGGCTGCGTGGACCCTGCCTGTGCAGTGTGCTTGGAGTCTTCTGTTAAATACTTATTTACCAGCCTGAACTTTTTGCTTTTTATTGTCCTTAGCTCCCAGCTAAGGAAGTGCTTATTTTGTGTAGTTCCTGTCTAACTTCCAAGGTAGTAACATTTCTCATACAAAAGCCATGTTATTGCACCAGAATTGTGCTGACTCTTTTAAAGATCAAGATTCCATCTAATATTTTTCTAAACTGGCTTGCTTATTTTTTTGTGTTGTGTTACTTTATTTTGGAGTTTAACAAACTTGGTTTTGGCAGGAAAAGGTGAAGTGAAGCCAGATGTAGCTTGAAAACGTCTTGATGCCATAAGTAAAGAATGAATAGTATATTTCATTTAAAACAAAAAGCTCACTCCAGCACATGGCCTCCCCTTCAGATTTGTTTATATTTGTGTCACCTATTTCATAATGGAAATTATAGGAAAGAGTCACCTCAGGTGAAACCTACCTGTACTGTTTTGGCAACCATGAAATAGACTTCTGCCATCATAGATTCAATAATTTATTAGATCTCCTTTGCATTAGATAGTATAAACAATTTAATTTCACCCCTCTATTAATTTCCATTTCTGTAGCAAAAGCTAGTCTGTATGGTAACTTTTTTATTAATTACTCTGAAGCGTTATTCATTAAATTAATGAAGCAAGAGGAATGTGAAGTGTAGAGTTAAAAAATTATAGTAAGAAATTAAAAGTTTGCCAACTAATTGTTCTGTATTTTAAAAATATTTTCAGAAGTTGTTTAAAATTTTAGTTTCTGCATTCTTCTTTTTCCCTAAATAATGAACCCGGGAAAGCCTTTGCAAAATATTTTTCAGAAAGTTTATGAATTGTGACAGAAACAAGATGCATGCATACTGTTTTTCTCACTATGTTCCAAAGGTTGTGCGGTTTTGTTAAGGCTTAACCCTTGTATTTTTATTCTAGAACTTAAATATCAGAGTAAGCGTAAAATATATACAGACTAATTGTAAGATGTAGTAATTTGAGGCAAAAGTACCTTTGTGTAAAGTAATATAAAAATAATTAAGTAAATTTCAGAGCTATCTGTACATGTTTACATATGCTTTTAAGGTACAGTATAAAATTGTTATTCGGGCTGTTTTCCTTACTTTTCATTTCTGAAGGCATGCACTTTTCTCTATGGAATTTTCAGAGACATCTGAAAGCTTCTAGGCTTTCTTCACAGCTTCATCATGTTCAGAGGCTCACATTCATTCTAGGGTTGAATAAAACCAGTATCTTTTTTTCTTTTGCTTCTGTTTGATCAGGGAAGTCTGTTTGTTGGCAAAAATTATTGCCACTAGTTAAAAAAAAAAAAAAAAGTTATGAGTATTCTGTCTGTCAAATTCCATTTCAGTACTCTGTTTCTCAAAGACGTTCACATTTGGTATTCATCATACGTCTTGCAGGAAATTATAGTAGCAGCAAACTTCTATTTTTTCTATTAAGTTATGTTACAATGGTATTGAATGAAATGTATAGTTTGTATTCCTCTGCCTTATGTTGTGAATAGAATTGAGTTTTTATTATTTAGGAAGCAACGACAGATATGGTGTTGAAATCATCTTAATGTTAAACTGTGATAACTAGACAATAACAAATAACTTACAACAAAGGAAGTAAATGAATTCTTGAATTCCTTTGTTGTACACATAGTGTGTCCTATAACCCACGGTGCTGACGACAGGAAGGAATTTGCCTGTTATCTGCAGGTTTTTTGTTTTGTTCTTCTTCAGATTAACATAAGAAAAGTCCTTAAGAACAAAGGATAGTAATAATTTTATTTTAAAAAAGCCAACCAAACAAAACCATTTTATTGACATAGTAATGTCTGTTATAGGAGCAGGGTCAGTCTAGTTGCTGTTCCACATTTTTGAGGTACTAGAATTTTTCAAGGGTAAGTCAAATGTTGTGGCAACAATCCCTTTTATTTGTTGTGAAGGTAAATGCCAACAGGTATGAAGGTAGAGTTTAGGTGGCAGACTGCAGTTTTAGTAGCTCAAGAAGAAGTAGTATTTTTGTGTTCAGGTTTTGATCTGTGTATCACTTGAGAAGGATCAGATGAAGGATGAGAGATCGCTCTCCGTGTGCCATCCAGTGCCATGCAGGTTGTCTTCAATGAGACCTAAAGTTCAATTCACTCTTCTGGATCTTGCTGCTCCTTCCCCTTTAAAGGAGGAAACAAGAGCAGCACATACGTGGGAATGTCACTGCAGAAAAGCATCGATTGAAAAAAAGGAGAGGTTTTCTCTCAAGTCAAATTGTAAAATATGAAGAGCCACTACATGATTCAAAAAGTTATAGCATATGAGTCCTCAGTTTGTATCTGATTATAAACATAGTTAGGAAGAGGAGAGGGAACTAGTGGTAATTTTTTTGGAATGCCATGTTAGTGAACAAGTACTCTCATGGCAAATGGAAGACAGTAGAGAATTGAAGCACTACCACAGAGAAACATTGAAGAGCTTTCTTCCCCTTTGCAACAGTAATAACATTCACTCAAACAGGGAATGCTTTAGTTTGATGGCAGAAGTGAAGGAAAGTAGAAGCTGAGGTAGTGCTGCACCTAACTGCTGTCAAAGCCTGGTAAGAGAAAGCAGAGCAGTTCAAGTGTTGCTGTTGTATAGTAACTTGAAGTGAATAATTTTGGTTGAGGTGCTCAATTCAATCATTCTGCTATTTGTGTCAGCAGGGCTGCTCTCAGTTACTGCACTCAGAGGCCATTGCTGTTTTCTTGGCAGTGGATGGAATAATGAAACCAACTTTTTACTGGAAGCAACAAAGTGAAGCAAAGTGGAATCTGGCAAAGGGAGTAGTGTACTGAATTTCAGCCTGCGTTGCAGGAGACAGGAACAAAAATAAAAACGATAAAACCTTCCTACTGACAGTAGTTTTGAACTCAAGCTGTGCCTCTGCACAGCAAAAGCTGAGGAGTCTGGAACTGCAAAGAAAGTTAAAAAGATCTTCAGGCTTCTGCTTGTTTGTTCACAAAAGCAAAAATTTCCTTTATGGCCCTAAAGAGAGGAGTCAGCTCATCAGCACTCTGGAAATGTATCTGCTATACTTTGGCTGCCTTTGCCTTTATGTAGTTTAAGAAAGTAAGCTTTGAAGGGTCAGAGAGGAGGCTTAAAATAGCAGCAGTGAAGAAGTGAGGAGATGGTTAAGTTCCATTTTTTTCCTTGTGTCCTTCCTATCAGATGTTTCACTTGTTGCCTAGGTACAATCCTTCCTCTTAAAAACAGATGAGCATTATTCAGACCAGGTTACCCGTCTGGTGGTATGGATAGGTGGTATTTGTGTGGTTTCTGATCATAAGAGATGTTTGGTTTGCAACCATGTTTAAACTTTTCTTTGAACCCAATTAATTCAGTTGAATGCTGGCATGCATTATTATTTTCTGACTTGAGCTCACATCAGTGTTATCATAGAATGGTTTGGGTTGGAAGGGACCTTAAAGATCATCTAGTTCCAACCTAGTTCTAGTTCATTTTTCATAATGTGTTAGTTAAGGAACAAAGCTCATGAACATTTCTTCCTACGGTTTTTCCTTTGTGTCTATGTGCTTAAAATGAGAAATAAAGAACGACTAACAGGTCAAATATCAAAAGCTTTTATTCTGTTGGTACAAGGACTCAACTGGAGGATTGAAATCCATCCTTGTTGTCTTGTATGTATTTATACCATATATCAAATCCATTCCTGAAGGTCTTCACTATTTGTATGGGTAACGTTCTTTTGTGATTGACTGAGATCTAGGAAATCCAGGTCAGTTTGAAGAGTTACCTGAATAATTAAAAAAAATAATAATTTAAAAAGGTATAATCCTTGTTGTCTGTTTTCTCTAAACACCATCATTATTTGCAGATGTCTAGCTGTGTATTGGCTAGATCTTTGGATATATTATATGAGGTTTGGAATCTATATTTTGTTCTGTTTGCAAGTATTTCCTCAGCATACTGAGTCCTGCAAATAATTTACTTTTTATTAGACCAAATAAATCTTAATTGAATGTTTGCTCTTTTGTATGCAGCCTGTTCCATTTCAAGATTGTGAAGGTTAGCACTAGTTTTATTTTGCATAATAAAAACATTGCCTTAATTTGCTGTCTCACTGTAGGATTACATTTAGTAACTTATTTTTAAAAGTGTAGCTGTTTAAAGTATATATTTCTGATGGTTCAAAAAAAGTACCTTCTCTTTTTCTCTTCTCAGATTTATCCAAGAATAGATTAACTGAGGTTCCTTCGGAATTGTGCCATTTCGTGTCACTGGAAACACTAAATCTATACCACAATTGTATTAAAATTATACCAGACGCCATAGTAAATTTGCAAATGCTAACTTACTTAAATTTGAGGTAAGTTTAATTTTGCAACATTTTTTTGTTTATTTGCAAATGTATTTGTTTTATTGGAAGTTGTAATGCAAAAACTCATTGGCTGCAGATACAGCTCTGTATGAAGGCATTGTAAAGGCCAAAATATAAGTCTAATTGTTTACAGAAAGATCAAGTAATGTTAATCCCTTTCTTTCCCTTACTCTTCTAGCAAATTCAGAATGCTAATCACAGCACAGTCAGATTTTTGTAATTCCCTTCTCATGATAAATTTTGTGAAACTTGACATATTTTTTGTAGTTAAAAATTTGACAAGATAGAGACAGAGCTTTAACTATTTTCATGGGGAATTGAGAGGAAAAGCATGTTACTTTATCCTCTTATTATGAAAGAAGTATAGTTACTTCTTATATAGGCTTTTTTAGGAGGAAGGGGCAAAGAATTAGACATGTTTGTCTCTTTCCCATGAAAAATGTGTGTGAATACTAATTGGTGTAGAGAATTGCTATTGGTGCAGGTGACTGCATATGTACTTTTGGGAGAGGGGATGTCAACACTTCTTCAGTGGGGATGAGGTGCGGAGATTTGTTTGCAATTTAGTGTGTAAAAACTGTAATGGTGAAGATATAATAACTTCTTTTTTGCAAGAAAGAAGTTTAGGCAGGGGGCAGAGTGGCTCTTGGGCTTTTAAATTCAAGGTATGAAGGCTCAATCATAAGTTTTGTAAACTTATGATTTGTAAACTTTCCTGTATTGTTACTGTGCTGCAGTTTTGGCCACAGAAACCCTAATTTTGGCTTTAAAAATTGAAACAGAATAATGTGTCCTGAGTATTTGCACACATGTAAGCAATAGGATTTGAAATTTTGAAATAGTGTTTGTTAGAAATATAGCAAGAAATTAAGACTGGATGAAATGATTAAGTTTGCATAAAATATCTTAGTAAATTTAGGAACTGGAATGAACTCAATTACAACGCAGTGTAGTGAACTAGTGAATTTGAACTCAGTATTGTGATGGAATTTGTGAATCATGACAAACCCAGAATAGTTAGTGTTAATATAATGTATCACATAAATTAGTCAAAATGAAAGGAAATTTTAAAAGTTTCACTAAATAAGGTCATTTCCCTCAGTTTAAAATCTCTCCTTGTATGTGCCCTCCCCCTGTGTTAGCTGAACACAGTAAGCAGTTTGTAGAAGAAGGAAAGATATCCTTGACTTGCTAACCATGTTCTCCTTGGCAAGGAAAATATTATAGATTTAAAATGAATATTTTTCTGCCTGTTACCGACAGAGCCCATATGCAAAACAGAATTAGGAAGTGATGCCAAGAGATATACATAGCCTTTGGGCCTTGTTCATGTTTTGTTTAAAGAAATTACTTTTAAACTAATGATGATTTATTACTCACTTGCCCTGTTTTTGTGCTGTTCTGATCTGGTGCATAGTATAATTCCTTTAGATACTAGACTTCCTCAATTTGATTTCTTTAGAACTTAAACTATTTATACTTATTTTTTAGAATAAGTTGTGTCTCGGTCTTCTGTAAAGACACTAGAATTGAGAATCCTGACTCCACAATAAACACTGATACTTTTTTTTCAACTACTGCTGGTTAGTAGTTGGATGTCTCATTGTTAATATCCTTGTGTTTGTTATTTGATATTCTGTCTCTCAGCCTGGGTAACAGAGATATGATGATAACTTATTTTGTAAAACATTTTAAGACCATTGTGTGGAGCATGAATATATGCCTTTATATGCAATTTTGTAGCAGACCAGTGGATTGGCAGTTGAAGAACAAATGTTTTGAGACTTCTGGAATCTTTATTTTTGTTTCCTTTTGTTTGAATTCAGTGTTGCAACTCTTACTGAAATTACACAGGACTATTTTTGCCGTCTGTTTTCAGAGTTCAGTCATGCGTATTTGTTCTCTGGAGCCTTAATAGTCAGGCAGAAGCTGGCTAAAATGCCTCTTACTGGGCTGCCACTTTAAGTTACTGTTCATTGTTTTCCTATGGGTTAATACCTATTAATAAAAAAAAGCTGTATTTTAAGAAAACCTTCAAATATTCTAGGAAAGACAATAGTTAATATGTTACTCTGTTCAGCTTAAAGTTTCTTCTGGGAATTGATCCACAAATCACAAGGAATTAGTATTTTTAATCACCTGAAGATCACAAAAAGTCATGTCATTTGTCATCTTTAAGTTCTAGCTTCTCGAGTAATTGTTACTAGAATGAGAACCTAAATTTTTTGAAAGTTTTCTACCAATTTTTGTCTTTCCTTGCAACTTCTCTTTATGAAAATCTCTTCTTCATTAAAATCTTCTGCTCACTTTTGGTTTTTTTTCCTAAAAATATGGAATGAAGAGTAAGATCAGTCACTTAAAAAATGTTTTATCAATTTTAGGAAAAAGTAAGATACAGAGATAAAATGACTGAGTCTTGGAAAGAAATGAACCGTTGATGGTCACGGCATTTTTCACTGTATTAACCTGGGTTAATGTCAGAATCATAGAACAACAAGTACCAAGTAATCTTCAACTATAAGTATGCTTTAAAGTAACTGAGAAAATAACTGTTTTATTTGTGCTTTATTTATTTGCCTTTCATTTGGAAGAGAAGACATCCACTATACTGCCACATAAAACCATAGGATTGTTTAAATACCTGCAAAATACTCAGTTGACTGTTTTGTATTCATTAGGAA